ATGAGTATGTGGTGGAGATCCACCTGGTTTATGTGGGAAATGAGAGTGAAATTGTCGTAGTAGGATAGGTGGATGAATGTTGGAGGTGGATTCCCAACTTCTTTCTTCAGGAGGGTAGCCTTTCCAATGTATAAGATATTGTAGGCGTCCTCTTTGGAATCTAGAGTCAAGAATCTGTTCGATTTCAAATTCTTCTTCTCCATCTACTGTAACAGGTGGAGGAGGAGGGAGTAGGGTGCAGAGTGGGTGTCGTTGCGGAGCTGGAGAGAGCAACGATCGGTGGAAGACCAGATGAATTTTCATGGAGGAGGGCAGGGTCAAGCGAAAGATGATGGGATTGATTTGAGCGACAATGCGGAATGGTCCGACCCGTTTGTGGGCTAATTTGCGAGAGGGTACGGAAAGGGGGAGGTAATCAGTGGACAACCAGACCCAGTCAACAACATGTAGGACAGGTCCAGGTTGTCTTCGTCGATCAGCGACTTCTTTGTAGATCAACTTGGCTTTGTCTAATTGTTGTTTAAGAATGGACTGCACCGAGGCTAAATCGTTGAGGAAATTCCCAGAGGCGGGGACGGATGACGAGGGAAGTGATGAGGGAAATGCTCGAGGGTGATAACCCAGGTTGGCAAAGAAAGGAGTTAGACGGGTGTAGCCATGGACAGAATTGTTATATGCGAATTCTGCTAGTGGGAGAAAGGAGAGCCAGTCATCCTGTTGGTAGATAATGTAACAGCGGAGGTATTGTTCAAGAGTGGCATTGAGGCGTTCTGTTTGACCGTCGGTTTGTGGGTGATGAGCAGAGGAGAGGCAGAGGTCGACTCTGAGTAAGGTCAAGAGTTCCCACCAAAATCAGGATGTGAATTGACTGCCTCTGTCTGAAATTAAAGCAAGGGGCCACCCATGTGCTTTGTAATATGGTGGATGAAGAGGGAGGTGGTAGTCTTGGTGGAGGATAGTCCTGTGCAGGGAATGAAGTGGGCCATCTTGGTAAAGAGGTCTGTAACTACTAGTATGGTGTTGAAGCCGCTGGATTTGGGTAAATCAGTTATGAAGTCCATTGAGAAGGTATGCCAGGGTCCGGGAGGCAATTCTATTGGCTGGAGTAGTCCCGGTGGCTTTCCCTGTTGTCGTTTGGAACGGTGGCATGTGGGGCAAGAGAGTACACACGTTTTGACGTCATGGTACATGTGAGGCCACTAATAGTCTCTAGAGAGGGTGTGAAGTGTTTTGTAGACCCCGAAATGGCCTGCGGATGCAGAGTCATGGCATTGTTGCAGCATTCGTTCACAAAGTGAAACTGGAACATAAGGGACACAATTGTAGAGTAGGATGTCAGCCTTGAACGAAAAGGGGTTAGGAAGGGAGTTGTTCCTTCTTTGGTCTTTCTTCATGCGTACGAAGGGGTCGGCTCGTTGTGCATGTTGGATGTCATCGCTGTATGAAGAAGAGATGGAGGTTGCGGCTGCGATTTCAGGTTGCAAGATAGGAGTAGGTTTGGGTTGTTCTTTGTTATCAGGGAAGTACTCAGATTTTCTGGATAGCGCGTCAGCCAGAGGTTTTTCGAAGGGGATATATACTCGATTTGAAAGTGCAAACGAGAGAAGAACAGAGCCCATCATGCTTGTCTTTGCTTAAGGATTTTGGCAGAAGTGAAGTGAACAAGGTTCTTGTGATCCGTTTGGATGAGGATCCTGTGAGGAGAGCCTTCAAGTAAATGTCACCATTCTTCAAGAGCAGCTTTGATCGCTAGCAGTTCTTTTTCCCAGATTGTGTAGTTACGTTCTGAGTTGAACAGCTTGCGGGAATAGAAAGCCACCAGTCTGAGGTTATCGGTGGATGTATTTATTGATTGCAAGAGAACAGCTCCAATGGCTTTGTCCGAGGCATCAGTCTGTAGCATGCAAGGTGCAGAAGTATCTTGGTGGATCAGCTGGTTTTCTGAAGTAAATTGGTGTTTCATGGAGATAAAGGCGGCTGCAGCGTCGGGTGGCCAATTGAGGCAGCGCCCCATGTCCCTCAAGAGGTCAGTCAAAGGTGCAGTTAGACGAGAAAAGTGTGGTATGAATCGGCGATAGAAGTTCGTGAAACCCAAGAACTTCTAAAGTTCTTTTTTCGTTCAAGGGGGTTGCCAGAATAATACTGCTCATATCTTCTCTGGATCCATCTGTAGCCCATCTGGGGAAATGCGGTAGCCAAGGTAATGAGAGAAGTTGTATACCTTCACATTTCTCTAGCTTGGCTGAGAGGTGGTGTTCTCGCATGTGCTGGAGGACGGCTTGTACGTGGTGAACATGAGATTCAGGGTCATTGGAGAAGATCAGTAAATCATCCAGGTAGGCAATGAGGAAATCATCAAGGAAATCATGGAAGATTTCATTTATCAATCTGCAAAATGATTGTCCCATATTTAAAAGGCCAAATGGCATTACGCGAAACTCGAAGGTGCCAAATCTCGTTGAGAAGACAGTTAGATGTTCGTAGCCAGGACGTATGCGCAGTAAATTGTAGGCATTGCAAAGGTCTAGCTTGGTAAAAATGCATGCTTGGCCTAGACGTTCCAAAATCTCCAAGATGAGTGGCATAGTGTGCCTATTTGGGACAGTAATTGCGTTTAGACAGCAGTAGTCGATGCAGACCCTAAGTTCTTCAGAATTCTTCCGAGGTACGATGATAGGGGTTGCTGAAGTGGGTGACGAAGAAGGGCGTATGAAGCCTTTTTTTAAATTGGTGGATATGAAGTCCTTGATGACTTGGAGTTCCTTAAGTGACATGGATTGTAGTTTGTCGACTGGGAGAGTTGCTCCCGGCTGTATATGAATCTCCATGTCACATGAGCGATGCGGTGGTAGTTTGTCAGCCTCTTGCGGGTCAAAAACGTCCCAAAAGTCTTGATATTGTGGGGGAAGTGCAGTGGTAGAGGGAGGGGAGGAGGTGAGAGGTGTTTGGGATGTAGGGCTATTACAGTGTTGTGAGCAAAAGTCAGAGTTGAAGTGTATTTGCCCTGAGTCCCAAGATATTTGAGGTCTGTGTTTGATTAACCAGTCCATGCCCAGTACTACAGGGTATTGTAAGTCCTTCACTAGTAGGAAAGCTGTTTGTTCGCAGTGTTTCCCAATTTGCAGGGTGAGTGGTGAAGATTGGAGAAAGGAGGGGCCTCCTTGCAGGGGACGTTTTTGGATGGAATCCACCTGGAGCGGGGTTGCTAGTGTTGAAGTAGGGAAACAGTGCTTTTGAGCAAATTCCTCATCCATGAAGGAAGCAGTGGCGCCACTATCAATCAGTGCTATGGCTCGAATTGCAGGCTGTGAGTGTGCTTGCAATGAGATATCCAGCAGGAGGTGTCGAGCTGTGGAAGCTTTTCCCTGGGCTTGGCATCCTTGTGATGTGTGGGAGGGTCCGAGTGTCGCAGTGCTTAATGACGCTGGGACTGGAAGTTTCCCGTCTGCTTTTTTAAAGGGCAGGACCATGCCATGTGGCTGTTATGTCCACAGATAAAGCATTACCTGGCAGTGCAGTGCTAGGCCCTATCTCCCCTTGGAATGCGAGGCCCGCCTGCTCCCAGCTGCATAGGCTCTGGTTCCTGCTCTGGCTGGGGTGTTGCCATGGCAACGTAGCTCTTGGGCGGGAATTGCTGGGGGCTGGCTTCCGCACGCAGGAACCATCTTGTTTTAGTTGGCTGTAGGCCAGCATGGCGTTCCTGCTTGGCGTGGGCCCTTTCACTGAGCCGTGCATCTATCTAAATCGTTAAAGTCATTCACTCCTGCAAGTTTTTTGGCATTGATGTACATGACAAATCATCCAAAACCTCCTCCCTCAAGCCCTCGCGGTATTGTACCATCAAGGCTTCCTCATTCCACCCTAAATCATTCATGAGGAGCTGGAACTTGGTGGTGTAGTCGGTGGCTGAGGCATGCCCTTGTTTCAGATGCTTAATCTCCCGTATGGCTATTTCCTTGCAAGCTTCAACACCAAGGAACTCCCCCAGGGCATTAAGAAATAGATTAGCATCATTTAGTATAGGGTCTTGAGCAATAAGCCTCGCAGTTGCCCAGTGGGCAGGGGCTCTCATAAGTTGATTTCTTAGAAATCCTACCTTCATCTTTTCGTTGGGGAAGTCAGGAAGGCATAGACTGATGTAGAGTTCACCTTGTGCTTTGAAAGTTGTAAATCCTTCTTTCTTGCCATCGTATTTCGGGGGGGGAGGCTTCAAGGGGGCATCTGCGCAGTGTTAATTCTTGATTTTGCTTTGAAGCAATAGCTGTTTGTAGTTTGGCCTGAAGATTATCTAGTTCAATCTTCATCAAATCAATTTGCTGTGTTGCTTGATTGTATTTTGTTCTCAAGAAGGAATTTTCTTCTCTTAAAGCTTGAAGGTCTTGAATGGTGGGGACAGGCGACTACATTGTTGTTGTTTATGAAAGGCAGAAGGTTAGAATGAAATTTCTTCTGGATGGTAAAGTAGTGCTGAAGAGAAAAAAAAAATTTTTTTCTTTGCTCTGCTGTGTTTGTGGAGGAGGATTTATAGGGCTGACGTACTGTCGAGGGCCAGTTATGTAGACATCCCACTCTTCGTAGAACAATAAAACTAAAGTCCTTTAATGTTAATTGTCTACAAGATTTACAATTCTGTAGATAAGTTCCCTAATAGCGGTCCTTGCTAAGCAGATTTCAGCCCTATAATGGCTTCTCTTTCTCTCTGAGCCCACGTGGGATCATTCTCCCAAGTCACGCCTTTCTTCCCTCTTATACTGTTTACTTTGTAGTTGTTCAAATCTGCATAAAGGACGTCTGTTCGCGGCTTTTGAGAAATCTACGAAACCTATTGTGTCTTCTGTTTCTGGCTCAGAGAGATCAGCATCAGGGGGGGAGGAGACAGTTTGCTCTGCCTCTTTCTGCGTAGAACTTGCAGCTCCCTCTTTCTCATGACTCTCTGTCGCTGATAAAGGTCCAGGCGTTTGCTCAACATGCTGGGGCTCAGGGGAAGATGCAGTAGCTGGTTCAGCCGTCCCTGCATTGGGTTGTGGGGTCAACCCTTGGGCACTGGGTGCCAAGTGCAAGGTCTCCTCGTGAGTCACTGTTTCTGTCAGAGCTTCATGCACGACAATCATGTTCCGAATATTTAATGAAAAGGCATTTGGTCTTTCTGAAGTTCTCCATACGGGACCAATAGAAAGCCAGGCAGTGCCTTACATCGCGTGAATGGAGAGATTTTTCTATCGGTGTCAAAGGCGAAGGGAAGAAGGCTGGCAGAACAATGTCCTGATTGATGTGAAAGGGTGTAACGACCTTAGGAAGGAATGTAGGATCAGTCCGGAGAATGACCTTCTCCTTATGAAAGTTGAGGTAAGGAGGGTCAACACGAAGAGCACATAGCTCACTCACCCTCCTAGCTGAAGTGATGGCAACAAGAAAAGCTGTTTTCCAAGAAAGCAAGTGTAAGTCAGTGGTAGCTAAAGGTTTGAAGGGAGCTTTACTAAGAGCTTGCAACACTACGGAGAGACTCCATGTTGGTACCCCTGAATGAACTGGAGGTTGGAGATTTTGTAATCCTTTCAGGAAATGACAGACAAGAATGTGTGAGAAGATGGAGGAGCCGAAGATAAGACCACAAAAATGAGAAATCGCAGCGATGTAAACCTTAATAGAAGTAGATTTAAGTCTGTGCTAGTGTAGGAGCAACAGGAAGAGCCAAATATTGTCAATTGAGGCTGACTGTGGTAGAAATTGGTTGCTAGCTGCAAAGGTAAAACGCTTCCATTAGCCTCATAGGAATGGCAAGTTGTCGGTCGTAGAGCAGATTGGAGAATAAATTGAATGTCTGGGTGAAGGACACTCAAATCTGATACAGGACCTGAGGGTTCTGTTGGTACCGAAGATTGTGTCAGTACCGAGGATTGTACCGGAATCGTCAGGTTCAATGAAGTTGTAGGTACCAAGGAAGAGGAAGAAGCGGTAGTCACTGAATAAGCCAAGTGGTGAGATTCAGAGAGTTGAGGTTGGGATGGCGAATTGCCCCGTTTTCCTGCATAATGACATGAGGAACTCGTGGGAGATGAAATGTTTGCTGGGAGAGATTGAGAATGGTGGGAAACCAGGGCTGGTATGGCCACCACGGCGTTATGAGAATTCCCTGGGCTTTGTCTTGAACAATTTTGGCCAGAGTTTTTGTGATTAGCGAAATCAGAGGAAACGAGTAGAAAAATGTGTTCGCCCAGTTCACCATCAGAGCATCTCCCAGTGAATTCAGGCCGATGCCTGCCCGGAAGCAATAATTCATGCACATTGAATTGGCCGCTGTAGCGAATAGATCTATGGTTGGGGTACCCCAGCGTTGGAAAATGTCACAAATCTGTCAGTCCAACTCCCACTCGTGAGTTGTGGACATCCACCTGCTGAGGGCATCCGCTTCTTGGTTGTCTACACTGGCGAGATGAACTGCTAGAGGAGTAATCCCCCTGTGGATTCACCAGTCCCATATTCACAAGGCAAGATGAGCTAACGGTACCAATTTCGTGCTGCCCTGTTTGTTGATGTAAAAAACAGTCACAACATTGCCTGAGGCTATTTGAACCACTTGTTCCTGAAGGGTCGATTCGAAAGACTGGAGAGCCTTGAAAACCACTAGAAGCTCTAGGTAATTGATGTGCCTGGACTTTTTGTGACCCTGCCAAGTGCCTTGGGTATGGAGATTAGCACAATGCGCTCCACATCCCAAAAGGGAGGCATCGGTGTAGACGGTCACCATCAGTTGTGGCTGGCGAAAGGGGACTCCTACGGAAAGATTGTGTTTGGTCGTCCACCAAGTCACAGTGCGAAGGATGAAAGCAGGTGGGAGTAGGAGATGATTTGGAGAGTCATGTTGAGGATGGAAGAGGCGGCTGAACCACAGTTGTAGAGACCGCATTCGAAGTCTAGTGCTGGATATGACAACAACTGTGGAAGCCATGTGTCCAAGCAACTTCTGTATGGAAAGCACAGGAGTAGGCCGGCCATTGTAGATGCGATGAATCGATGACTGAAGCTTGTCCATTCGAGCTGGTGGTAGAAACACTCTGCCTTGAATCGAGTCAAGACATGCGCCAATGAAATCAATGACATGTGAGGGAACGAGGCAGGATTTTTCGATATTAATACAGAGTCCGAGTTCATCTAAGAGTCTACATGTGGTATTGATGGCCAAAAGCAGGCTCTCTCTGGATGAGAAGACAATCAACCATTTGTCCAGGTAGGGGTAAATCTGGACACTTTGTAACCTGAGGTGGGCACAAACAGGGGCCATACACTTCGTGAAGACTTGTGGAGCGGTAGCAAGTCCAAATGGGAGGACGTTATACTCGAAAGGTCAGAACCAACAGTAAATCGGAGTAGCCGCCTGTGTGATGGATGGATGCTAATGTGGAAATATGCATCCTTCATGTCCAGGGAAGCGAACCAATCTTCTCTCCTGAGCAACAGAAGGATATTCTGAAGGGTGGTCAGTTGAAATTTCTCAGTCTTGATGAACTTGTTAACGCCACATAGATCAAGTATCCGAAGTAGACCACCATCCCATTTCGGGACCATAAAATATCTTGAGTAGAAACCATGAAGCCCCTCTGAGCAGAGAGCTGATGAATCGCCCCTTTACGAAGCAGCTGGGAAACCTCGTCTCAGAGGACCATCAATGGAGAGGTGTAACTGATCGGTCCCAAAGGGGGTACAGTATCAAACTCGATTTTATATCCATGCTCGATGATGGAAAATACCCACTTATCAGATGTGATGGACTCCCAAATGGGGAGTCAGCCTTGCAGCCGGTCCCCAAAAGGGAGGGGAGAAGGTGGGTGGAGAGAGAAGATCCCGTGTCCCATCAACATTATCGTTTGTCGTTGGACTGACGGCAACGGCCCTGCTGGAATTGGGCGGCAGGTTGGCCTCAGTTTTGTTGTTGGTGAGGCTGATTCTGTTGGCGAGAGGTGTATCACTGGTAGGGTTGGTACCAATAAGAACGAGACTGTGGCCACTTACGTCGGTTCTGGTTAGGTATTTTCATCTTCCAAGTGGTGACTCAAGCATTATAGATATACTCGAGCTTGTGGTCTGTGTGGGCATTGAAAAGGCCGGACCCGTCGAAAGGCATGCCTTCAATGCACCTCTTCATCTCATCTGGGAAATTGCAGGAGCGTAGCCACGCATGCCAGCGTAAGGCAATGGAGCCGACAAGTACCTGGAAATCGCAATCCACATGATGCTGCGCTGTACTGAGTTGCTGTATGGCTAGCTGCATGGACCCACGGATAAAAACACGGGCCAGATCACATTGCTTTTCCGGGATGGTCGAGGTGATGGATTCCTGCCTTTGCATCAAAAAGTACTAGCACCTGGCCATCGTCGCCTCGTAGTTCAGTATCTGTAAACCCAGTCCCATCGCAGTGTAGATACGGCACAACATCAACTCTATTTTCCAACCCTCCTTGTCTCTTGGGTTTGAATGCTCCCTGTTATCTCAACCCTTCAATGACTTGACAACTAAAGAATTCAGTTTCGGATGTTTGAGCAGGAATGGAATGTCCTGCTCCCTAACCTTACACATGGACTCATAGCACCGAGACGTTGGGTGTGGCTGGCTCAGAAACTCCCAAGTGTCCGTCACAGCCTGGCAAAGAGTCATTATCAAGGGGATGGAGATAGCAGATGATTGCTCCTTACGAACAATGTCGTAGAAGTGGTCCTCATTGGTGTTCACCCGATGTTCAACTTCTATCTCCAGTGACCTTGCAAGGAGAACCATAAGGTCTCCAAATGTGGGGTACAACTCTTCCAGCAACCCAGGTCCCTGAGTCGAAATGACGGCATCAGGAGAGGTGGAAGCCTGATCCGAGTCCTCCAAGTCCAAGTCATAGTGGTACAGAGGACTGCAGGAAGAGCCAGCCGGAGATGGAGGAGGTCGGGAAAGTGCAGCCGCCGAAGTGGAAGGCGCTTCTGCCCGGGACAGATGAGGACGATGCCTGCACACCAAAGGCAAGGGGTAGTAGCCGTACGGTGGAGGGTAGTCCCAAGGATAGGACTGAGATGGGTCAAATCTGCCGTACGGCATTGGAACCCAGATCCTAGACAAATGGCCCAAGGCACGCTGGTGGCAACACATGTCGGATGGAGGCCTCGGCGATACCTCTGGTGATGATGGCATCAGAGTGGGTGAGCAAGCCGATTGATGGCCCAGTTGAAAGTGGGGAGGTGAATCCTGTATCTTGCCGTCCAACATTGATCCGCGAAGAGCCGCCTCAGAGCAATCCAAAGTTGAAGGAGCTGACAATGAGATCCTTTGAGGGGATCCAGGCGGTGTAACCTGCATGATGGCTTGGGCAGTCAGACCCGAAGGAGTCGGGACCAAAGTGGCCATCGGGACTGATGGGGTGGTCGAGTCCAAGTCCCTGCAAGGCTCCTGGGCAAGCATATGCTGCTTGCATTCGGCCTTGTTGACTTTAGTCTTAGACTTTTTTGGTGCCAACAAATCCTCAGGCCCAGTATGCTTCCGCTTCTCCTTTTGTTTTTGGAAGAAGGAATGGGAGGAGTAAGTGGTCTCCTTGGAAGCAGCCCCCTCAGATGGTGGACAAGGGGAGGACACCATGGATGGGCCTGTAGAAGAGGCCTGGGTGGCAAGAAGCAATGAGGGCTTGATCCCAAAGGATCTTCCTCAGCCGATTTTCTCAATTCTTGCGTGCCTGTTTGGTGAACAACTGGCAATGGCCACATTTTTCAATCCAATGCCCTTCTCCAAGACAGAGAAGGCATAGCTCATGTGGGTCCATAGGAGACATTTGGCTCCACACTTCAAGCACTTTCGAAAAGCCGCATGCTGAGCCATCAAGAAGAAGAATGGATAGTGAACTGAGGAATAAGAACTATAGAAGACAGTAAAGATATGAAAAGATATAACAATTTGTGGGGGCGGAGAGGAAAAAGGGGAAGAGAAAAACTGTCCTAACAGGGAAGGTAAAGATTTGAACTTTGAACGGATTTCTAACAAGAGAAGAACTATGATAATCAGCAAACAAGAAAAACAAGGTAAAATGCAATAGAGTAGAGAGAGAAACGAACAGCTTAAAGCAAAGTGATCGAAAGAAGACTGGGGAAAATGGTGGGCGCTCCACCCTTTATACCATAGTGGGGGGGGGGGTGCGGAGTTCCTGCCAAAATCCGTTAAAGCTTTGAATTTTTCCCAGCTGCAGGCACCGTGCAGGCGCATCACCCATAATGTGTGATGCACAGAGACCACGACAAAGAACTGGCAGTTTAGGGCCAGAGTGAAGGTTCTCTCACCTTGGCCCAAGCTGCATGAGGTTACAGCTGATGCCCTACCTGACATGTCCTGTAATCACTAATGCTGGGCAATGTTGCAAACTGTACTTCCTTGCAACTTACACTCTATGCACCTATACTTACCCATGGTCTTTCGAGTCCAAATCAAGAAGGGAGGATGGAAAACCAGAACCAACAAACATGACTCATTGATTGTATACTGCCTTATGAAACACCTAGAGGAACCCTTCTGAATGTTGAACCATGCTTGTGTCTTGCTCGTATGTGAACACAATTTGTGATAAGACACAACATCATGAGTCTTAGCTTCCAGTGTCCTCACTTTGCAGACTTGAGTCAACATGGCATAGCTTTAAACTGGCACATTTCACCATATATAATATGTAGATGGAAAAAATACAAATCCTAGAAATATAAGTATGCATGTCTAAGACATTCCACTTCCAAAATGATAGCTATGTTACAGTCTTGCAAGAGAAAACACTTATGTTTTAAAAAATTTGTAACTTTTTCTTAAAATGATTCTAAAGTGGCTTACAATATAACACAACAAAACCAATATTTAAAACAATAAAAATAACACCTCAGTTAAAAGAACTCAATGTATTTGGCAATATGAGTGGCTAGGAAAATGCCTTTAAACTTTGAAACTATAACCTTGCTTTATTTACAAAGTACAATTAAGATTTCCCTTACACTACTGGTAAGCAAAGAAGCAAATTCAAGAATGTGGTGTGGTGTGGTGTGGTGTGGTATGGATAATAACATACCAAGCATAGTTTCCTCAGCATTTTCTCCAATATAGGAACCAAACATTCATTCATTCATTCATTCATTATTTAAAATTCTTCTATTTATAGAAGAATTATTTAAATTTCTTCTATTTTTAATTCTATTAAAAATCTCATTAAAAATCTCAAATTGAAAATTCTAGGTTCCACTGAAACTCAGAAAAACATGGCGAGACATTGCATTTTTTAAATACCATACATTTTTTCTTCATATGGAATCTACTAAATGGTCTGAGAATGCCACATGCTCCATGAATGCTTAAGCCAAACCAGTGTGGACCTGATCAGCAACCTAGATAGGTAGGGCTCTATCATCCAACCTTCTGATGAAAATGCTGGGGATTATACTGATACAGTGAACAGTCAAATAAAAGTTGTTTAACAAATACATGAGCTCAAAAGCTATGCATCAACTGGATAAATGTAGGCTCAGATCACTACAGAAAGACATTTCTAGATAGACAGAGTAAGCTAACAATTCATGGGAAACAAAAAGTAAAGATCTTTTTTAGGCCTTTGTGCTATGCACAATTCCCACCCAAACATTAATTTATGGCCTTTAAATCATGGCTAATGTCAACAGGATTCTTCAAAGATAGAGAAGTTAAGCATCTAAGCTCTTTGACATGTAAGAGAAAAAAAAGAATACAAGAATGGATAAGTGCCATGCATTCCAGTGAACTACTAGTACACTGCATTTATATCCCACTTTCTTCCTCTTGCAAGAAACCCAAGATGGCTTACGTGGTTCTCCTCTCCTTTTCATCTGCACAACAACAACCCTGAGAAGTAGTGACTGACTGAATAGGTACTAGAACCAAGATCTCTTGAGTTCTAGTACAGCACTCTTAACCACTACAGCTAGAAGACTAAAATGACACTTGATGACATTTGATTTTTAAATGAATAAATTCCGTCAAATAAATCAAAATGGTTCAAGACACATAAATGGGTTATGTAAATTAAACCTTGCACATGGATTAGTGGTATACCATCTACCAGGGAAATACTGGGCACAGAACTTCTGGTTCAGGGCTTCTAAACAACAAAAGGGCCTTAAGAAGTGCAAGACCTGAATGACAATATGCTTGAGTGACAATACCACAGTATACCTCTCAAAGATGCTCCCATTGTCTTCTAACCTTTTGCCTCTAGATGGAGAACTTTAACAAACTGTGTCATCATTGGCATCCTATGAGTATACTACCTACAACAACTTCATCTCAACACTCATTGCAACATTTGGTCAACCTACCTCAACCTATATTAGTGATGTACAGCAGGAACTTTGAATATTTACATGCATATGTGTGAGCATATATGTATACATGTATATTATTAGTAATACTTTCAAGACCAGTTCAATGTATCTTGGATCATACCTTGTGGCTATATGGGAAAGGGGTGTTTTGTTTTTCCCCTTTTCTCTTGATATGTGTTTCTGGTTCTATTTTTGTTTTGTATTCTCAGCAGTTTTTGCTGATGTATGGTTTTGTTGAAAGACTGTAAAAATCAAATTAAAAAATAGAATTAAAAAAAAACCTATGCCATAGTCCCAAAGTACAGCAAACAAACAGCAGTCTTCAGATTCTTTCAGTAACTGAGAATCCAGAGGTAGGAAGCAGTAGTACTGAAGTCACCTTGCTATAATTTTTGCCTGTCCCAGAACAAAGCTACTTTCAGAGGAACAAAGAAACAATGTATTTCCCTCTCTACTAACCTATAGGAACAAAATATGCACATCATTATTCCACACTAACTAAATTTTAGAACCAAAAATTTTATTGTGTTTCCACTAGGGCAGCAACAGTTGTTTCTGCTCTACATTTTAAAAGTGGATTTTAGTTTGGTTAGAGATAATTAAGAGCAAGGTGCCTGGTGAAATTCATTGTACTTACCAGAAACTGGCCAAGGATTCTCATTCTTGAACCTAGATGCATCCATAGCAACTGAAATTATCTTTAGGGCTGGTATCCTACCAAGCCTACTACTCAAGCCATTCTGAAGAAAGGCTCTGGCATGGGAGTTATTAACAGCTGCCTTGGTGACCTGTCTGTGGAACACTCTGAAGGTCTGCTTTAAACTTTGCAGGGTACTTCAAGGATAAAATTGAGTATCTTCATAATATCCAACAAAAAAGTGCATATTAGGCACTTAAACAATAACTAATGCTACTATTACAATAGTTACTGGTAAGGTACCCAATGCTCTTTCTTGTCCAGTTTCCTAGAATCAGTTCCAACAGTTGTGGTCTGATACTTGTATGCCACCATGATTGATTAAAAGGTTGACTAGATGTGTCTAGGCAGTGGTAAATGCATAACTGAACAAAGACAAAACACAACACAATCCAGTGTTGGCAGTGGTACCACTACTTCAGAAAAAGCCTTACCTTACCCAAAAGGGAAGTATTAATGAACAGCTGATCCCCCATCAGTAATTACTTGGTCATTAATACACACTTACAGCTGTAAGTGCTGCCAAATGTGCTTCTACCAAGTACTGACTCAGGGGAGCGTCAATGGCAGGGATGAATACGTATACAACCAACAAGCACTACTTTGTTTTTTGTTTATTTAACTTGTGTGCCACAATATATTTTACACACATCCTCACATTAGTTATCTCCTGTGCAGCAAATGGCCTTGGTCAATGATATACATTTCAATTGTAGGTTATACAGCAACAACATATGGAAAATCAAAGGGTAGTGTGGTTAATACTTCTGTCAGGCACTGTATGTATTAACTGAACTTGATTTGTACAAAATTATTTCTTCTTTTTCTTATTTTTATACATACTTTATTTTGTTGAAATTTCACAACAGAAGTACATTTTTTAAAAATCTTGTATTTTAAAAATTAATACTCTGAAAGTCTGATAAGGGGAAAACTGATACATATTCTTTAAGATATTCAGAGAACAGAAGCTTGGTTTTAGGTAAGCTTCCCAATCAAAGTGACTTATAGTACCAGAATGCTCAAGAATACTTTGATTTTCATTATTTGCCAGAAACTATGTGTTTCTAATCCATATAAATTACTTACAGTACAGCTTTTGCAGACTATAGGCAGCAACTTTACATGTCATGTATCAGAAAATATATTCATAGACAATATTTAATTATATCTGTCTATAAATTAAATAGAATTATCTAGAATTAGAATTATCTAGACTTATCTGTTCTAGACAGATAATTATATCTGTCTAGAATAGATCCAAACAATTATTCATTGAAAAGTCATTCAGGAATGAGATTTGTTACCTAACCAAGAAATTTCTCCAACCCATATTTTGCTTAAAGGCAAAACATATGTAACAAATGAATTTCAGAAATAACAAAATTAATCTTAAAGTGTTTTAGTTGTATCCAGGGTTTGATTTCCTACAGTAACAATACAGTCCTACAGTCTTCCTTTCATTTCATTTTGAACAGATGTCTTACTACTTTTTGCCTAACATGGCCACTTGCGAGCCCATACTAGGATTTTTTTCACTGTTTCAGGATTGTGTGATTACTGTAAAATTAGAATGTTAAATATTAATCTTAAACACATATCCATAGAGTATTTAAGCACATTGGGGAGATTTCCTTCAGGGGTTTCCTTTCTTCTTTGTCTCTTAGCTGCAGGGTCAATTTTGGCAAAAATCTGTCTACTGTCACTTGTTTTTTCCTGCACTGCATAACTCTCCAGAAATGAGAGACCACATTATTGTTCATAAGATTCAACACTCTGTTCGTTACAGTTATGTTGGGGTGGTGTTTCTCAAAGAAGTCCTGGCACACATTCCATTTTTCCATAATGGATTTTATCACATTATTGCTAACCCCCTCCAGTCTTCCTCTTCCTCAGTGGAATGCTCCTCAACAAGTGCCTTCTGCTGCTCACTCTGGCATTCAGCAAGTTCTTCCATCATCAGCTCCTCCTTATGGTCCTCAACAACCCATACTCCTGTCCATGGACACAATCTCCTCCACTACCTGTGCATCAGACCCTTCAAAGTCACATTCAGTGACACATTCTGGCCACAGTTTCCTCCAGGCTGCTTAAGGTCCAGTACATGACATCTTCTCAGGCTTCGTCAATGAAGTTGATGCAGTGGAGGACCTTGAAATGTTTCTTCCAGAACTCTTTCAGAGTCAAGGATGCCTCTTCAGTGACATTAAAACACCTGGTGAAGAGTTCCTTTGTGTACAGCTTCTTGACATTGCAGATCATTCACTGGTCCAAGGGCTGCAGAAGAGGTGTCGTGTTGGGGGTGGGGGGGACTTGACCTTTATGAAGGTCATAAAGGTCCTTCATAAAGGTCCACTCACCATCCATATCATCCACCAAGGCTGGAGGGTGTGCCGGGGCATTGTCCATCAGAAGAAGGCACCTTTCAGGCAGTTGTCAGAAAGATATTTCTTAACGGTGAGTGCAAACACCTTAGTCATTCCATGAACAACTGCCTTGTGACCCAAGCTTTTGCATTGGCCCTCCACATGACAGGCAGTCTGGCCTTGTTTACATTCTTTTCCTTGAATGCACGAGGGGTCTGGGAATGGTACACCAATAGTGGTTTAATCATCGGATCGGCGCTTGTGTTCACATGCAGCAAAAGGGTCAATCTGTCCTCCATGGGCTTGTGCCCGGCAGTGACTTTCCCTCCTGAGTGATATAGGTTCTGTTCGGCATCTTCTTCCAGAAGAGCCATTTCATCACAGTTGAACACTTGTTGAGCAACGTATCCTTCTGCCTTCATGAATTCCACAAATTCTGTCTTGTAGTAGGCTTCTGCAGTGACCTTGTCAGAACTGGAAGCCTCACCATGTGTTATCACACTGTGGATGCCACTTCTCTTGCAGAATTTATCAAATCACCCTCTACTGGCTTTAAATTCATCACTTGCTGCACTTGTAGAGGGTTTTTTTGGGGGGGGGGAGGTTGGGTTTGTTTTTGTTTTTTTCAGTAAATCACTGTACAATTTCCTGGCTTTTTCACAGATCATAGCTTCATTAACGCTATAACCTGTCAGCTGTTTCTCATTCAACTCCACTAACAAAAGTTTTTCCACCTCTTCCAGCACTTGTGTCCTCTGCTTGGTTAACATTGTTACTCCTTTTACCACATCAGCTCCTTTGATGGCATCTTTATTCTTCAAAATAGTCGAGATTGTCGACTTCACCATCTTGTACTCTGAGACCTGATCAGTCACACGAATACCACGCCCATGCTTTTCTACAATTTCCTTCTTCAATTCAACGGTTATTTTCTTCAGAACCTCCTTCTTACCATTCTTGCTCTGCACGTTCTTGTTACCTTCATTACTGCTTTGCACATTCTGGTCACCTTCATTACTGCTCTGCCTGTTCTCATCACCTTCATTACTGCTCTGCACTTTCTTTTTACCACCATGCTTGCTCTGCACTTTCTTGGGAGCCATGCTGGATTGAATAATACTGTACAGTGCTGTATGTGCTAAAAAGCACACAAAAAAAAAACTTCACAGCAAGTGTGCACAGGTCTGTCTGTGATCGCAATCTCAACTAGAGGAAGCCACAACCACGGATCGGAGTGGGGAAGATGGCTGCGTTCGTGCTCATGCTAGGAAGATGGCTGTGGTCGTATTGAGAGAAAGAACAGAACTTTAATCATTTTTCATGACAATAACATTTTTCAAAGCTTATGCTCTCTTGTCCAATCCCAGTTTGGACAATTATTTGAGGTGTGATAAATTGTAGTTTATAAAACTAAGGATGAGGATAAGAGCCAGTCTTTCAGCACTTCTTCCCTTCTCCAGCCACACAATTTAGCATAAAAGCCTGGAGACAAGAGTTTCGCATTCCTTCCACACAAATGGCTCCCTCATCTTTCCAAGTGTCTATTATTCAAATACTTGGCTTAGGAGAGCAGGAAAAAATCATGATTACAAAAGAGGTGGATCCATTGTTTTTCAATAACTATCAGTCTCTCTTCAAGTAAAGGAAGCAAATATTGACTAATATGTAAACCTGATTTTCTGGTAGTTTTGGTGAAACGTAGCACACAACTGGTTGATTAACTTTCTGAAGCAATCTCAACACAGGTGTGTCAAGCAAAACCAATCATGAATTCTCTCATAAAATGTAAAATCTGATAAGAATATCTTTAACATTCTTATAGTTAAACCTATAACCTCAGTCCCTAAACTGGAGTGAAATAAGCCAGGCTCTTGTCCCATATTTTCAGTAAACACAGTGTTGTTTCCAGTGCCTGCCAAGGACATTTTTGTTCTAAGAATCCTTTTTTGCTGGTCAGCCATGGTTTTAATGTTATCTTGTCTTTAGTGTATTAATATATTGTTTTGATTCTTTAATTTAACTTTGTACTATTCACAGCTCTGGAATCTTTGGATGTGGAACAGTAGACAAATTGTGTAAATCAAACACATACATACATAATGCCCTTGGATTTTTTGAAGTTTAGGTGAGAATTCTGAGGAGTATTTTAAAGGAAGAGAAGTGGCTGAATTGAAGGGGGTACATTTCACAGTAAAGAAAATAGCATGCAAGACCAAGAGGTTCAGATTAATAGAAGGAGACAAAGGGCTAAGTGAAATAACTGAACAAGAGATAAAAAGAGATGTTTCAGGAGAACAATTAGTTGAAGCTGTTGACAAAATAACAGAGAGGCATTGCAAACACGGTCAGAAAGTATAGCAATCAGAGAGGACCAATTCAGCAAAGGTTAGTGCAACAACCTAAGTCCAAAATGACTCCCATATGCTCCATGCATGAACTTGGTGCTAAACTTACATAGGAGTTGATTGCAAATGCCCAGTTGCCAAAAGAAACTTGTTTGAGTTGCATTTTGGACATGGCTATACAGCACTGTTATTTTGAGTCCAATAACTTACAGAAAGAGTTATAGGTTGTCAAGGAAATTTGTTGCCCTCAAACAAGCCACCCTGCAGGAAGCAATCTGGGCTTCCATAAAAAGCTTCCATTCCAAAAGCCCACCATTGCTAGTTGTCTACAAACCCAGTCCATGAGTCAAACATGAAATAAATTTCATATTCAAAATTAAGCAAATGTGTGTCGGCATTGCCTTCCAGAAACATGAGCTAATTCTACAACTCCAGGTTTGATTCTCTTGAACTGCAGCATCAACACTTGCCAGAATGTGTCAATGCTTTTCAACAAGCATTTCACTCTTTTTGAAAAGGGGTAAATCCCCCTTCCCCTATCTCTCTCTTTCTCACACACAAACCATTCTGCTAAGGTACATTCCCCCCCCCCACCCGCCCTTGGGGTTTCACATCTCTCATGTCCTATGAGAAGACAGTGAGAGAACTGGGTAAGTTCAGCCTTGAAAAGAGAAGGTTGATGGGAGATGTGACATCACTCTACAAGTACTTCAAAGACTGTCACAAAGAGGAAGGTCAAGATCTCTTCTCATTCATCCCAGAGTGTAGGACACGAAATAATCAGCTCAATTTGCAACAAATCAGATTCATTCAAGAAACATTTCCTCACTGTCAGAGAAACATGACAGTGGAACCAATTATCTGGGAAGGTCATGGGCTCTCCCACGCTAAAGGCATTCAAAAAGAAACTGGACAGTCATCTGAGTGGGATAATGTAGCTTGGAGCCCTGCACTGGGCAGCGGACTAGACCAGGTGGCCTCCTTGGCCCCCTCCAACTCTACCATTCTATTATTCTATGATCCTCCAGGTTAATTTATCTGAAATATTACTCCTCATGCTTGCTTGGATAGCAAAAGAGTCCAGCACTGACACTTGTATGTCCAAAAAGGACTTAAAGTGTATTAAGTAGTAGCTATTATGTAGTCTGTGATTCAGTATGTGCCTTCCATAAAAGAGGAATCCACTAAATTCTTAACATTCAGCCTTACTTTTTATTATATTATCTCCATTAGAAATATAGGAAACATAACACCAAAACAACCACTAGTACAAGTTATAAATTCTACCCATGAAGCTGTAGAGATACATATTTATGCTTAAAAATTCTGGGTCCTATACAATGATAATAAAAAGGCACAGCCACAACCTACAAGCCTAAGGGTACTGGCTTCCCTTCTCACATGCCAAATGGATTTTTTAAAAATCCTATACGGCAAACTGGAAGAGACCAACATAGTTACCATAATTTCTTCCTATGTTGCTGTTGTTGTTGTTAGTTGCAAAGTCGTGTCTGACCTATCGCAACTCCATGGACAACCTTCCTCCAGGCCTTCCTGTCCTCCACCATCCTCCAGAGTCCACTTAAGCTCACACCAGCTGCTTCAGTGACTCCATCTAGCCATCTCATTCTCTGCTGTCCCCTTCTTCTTTTGCCGTCTATTGTTCCCAGCATTAGGCTCTTCTCCAGGGAGTCCTTCCTTCTCATTAGGTGGCCAAAGTGTATGAGTTTCATCTTCAGCATCTGGCCTTCTAAAGAGCAGTCAGGGTTGATCTCCTCTAGGACTGACCGGATGGATCGCCTTGTGGTCCAAGGGACTCACAGGAGTCTCCTCCAGCACCACAATTCAAAGGCCTCAGTCCTTTGGCGCTCAGCCTTCCTTATGGTCCAGCTTTCACAGCCATACATTGCAACTGGGAAAAACATAGCCTTGACTATACACACTTTTATTGGCAGGGTGATGTCTCTGCTTTTTAGTATGCTGTTTAGATTTGCCATAGCTATCCTCCCAAGAAGCAAGCGTCTTTTAATTTCTTGGCTGCAGTCCCCATCTGCCGTGATCTTGGAGCCCAGGAAAATAAAATCTGTCACTACCTCCATTTCTTCCCCATCTATTTGCCAGGAAGTGAGAGGACCGGATGCCATGATCTTAGTTTTCTTAATGTTGAGTTTCAAGCCAGCTTTTGCACTCTCCTCCTTCAATGCATCAAGAGGCTTAGTTCCTCTTCACTTTCTGACATTAGAGTGGTATCATCTGCATATCTGAGACTGTTGATATTTCTCCCCGCAATCTTAATTCCAACTGGTGATTCATCTAGGCCTGCCTTTCTCATGATGTGCTCTGCATATAAGTTACATAGGCAGGGCGACAGTATACAGCCTTGCCGAACTCCTTTCTCAATTTTGAACCAATCAGTGTTTCTGTGTCCAGTTCTCACTGTTGCTTCTTGACCTGCATATAGGTTTCTCAAGAGACAAATAAGATGGTCTGGTACTCCCATCTCTTTAAGAACTTGCCACAATTTGTTGTGATCCACACAATCAAAGGCTTTAGCATAGTCAA